TTAGGGTCAATCTGATAAATGATATATAAGATCTGTATACTGAAAACTATGGAACATTGTTGAGAGAAATAATATGAGAACTAAGCCAGTGGAAAGATATACCATGTTCATGGATCAGAAGACTCAATATTGTTATCAGTTATTCTGTATCAATCTATCTATTTAATGTAAAATGATCGTAATTCTAGTAGGTTAAGTATTTGTTTGGTAGGAAATGACAAGCTATGTCTAAAGTTCATATTATAATACAAAGATCCAGAATAGCTACAATAACTTGGAAAAAGAGAAAGTTGGAGGACTTTTACTACTTAATTTTGAGACATACTATCCAGCTACAGCAATTAAGACTATGTGATATTGGTATAAAGACTGATCAATGGGACATATATAGAGGAAAAAAATAAATACACATACACATTGCTAATTGATTCCAACACAGGTGCAAAGGTGTGTCAGTGTAGAGAAGATAGTCTTTTCACCAAACAGTGCTGGGTCAGTTGAGAAAAAAAAGTCCATGCCTTGTACCGTATAGAAAAATGAACTCAAAATAGGTCATAAGCCTTAATGTGAAAAATGAAAGTTGTTGAAACTTCCAGAAGAAAACATGAGAGAAAATCTTCATGACCTTGGGTTAGGGAAAGTTTTCTTACATATGACACTAAAAGCATGATCCATGGAGGAAAATTTAATACATTTGACTTCACGTAATTTAAAGCTTCTACTCTTCAGAAGACACTGTCATGAGAATTAAAAGACAAGTCACAGAAGGAGAGGAAATATTTATAAATAATATATTTGCTAAAAGAAATGTATTCAGAATATATAAAGAGCTCTCAAAAATCAATAAGAAGACAGATGTAAAGTACAGCATAGGAAATATAGTCAATAATATTGTAATAACTCTGTAGTGTCAGGTGGTACTACCCTTAACCTGGGGGGCAGGGTGCATCATCTCCTAAGTTGTATAAATATTTAACTGCTGTGTTGTATTATTTTCATAATATAATATTGAATGTCAACTGTAATTGAAAAAAAGTAATAAAAATAAGACCACCCGATTTTTAAAAACTGGCAAAAATTTGGATATTTCACCAAACACAATTTGTGAATCACCAGTAAGCGTAAGAAAAGATGTTCAGCATGTTTAGTTGTTAGATAAATGCAAATAAATCTATATAGACCCATTAGAATATCTGTACTAAAAAAATGACCGTTACCTTTTCAGACATTTTTCAAATTTGCTTCTGCCTAGTCTTCTCTCTGGTCCCCTTCTAGGACTCCAATTTCACGTATGTTAGGCCTTTTCATAGTATCTCTGTCTTTTCTATCTTTTTCTCTTTGTGATTCTTTCCGGTTATTGATTTCGATTATTATCTTTTTCTAGTCTAGAATTTCTGTTTAGCTCTTTTAAAAATCTGCCACATCCTTTTTTTTATATCTTAGAGTTTTCTGTCGAAATTTTCAATTGTGTCTTTTATTCTCTTGAAATGGGCACGTATCGGATAACACCAACACCTGGAGCACCTTTTGGTGCACTTCTGTTTTCTGTCGCTTCTTTTGGTTCTTATTCACGTTATCTTATTTCTTCACGTGCCTGGATGTTTGTGATTGTGGGTTCGATCTTGGATTCGATAAGTTATTTATAGAAATAGTTTGAGGCCCAGGGTGATATCTTCTCTAGAAAGGAATATATTTTCTTCTGCCAGTCATTTAACTGCACTAGCAATAAGTCTCGATCCAGTTTTAGGTATTGGATGATTTGAAGCAAGGCCACTCTCCCTGCAAAGGTCAGTCGGCTTCAGGATTACACTTATCGTATCCCAGGGGGCTTCCCAGGGCCTCTGCAAGGCTGTCAGAAAAGTCTCTCAAGCTCTGGGCCTCTCAGGAGCCTTTTCTAGAATCAACAAATGGCTCCAGGGGAAAAAACAGGCTCCAAATTACATGCTCATCTTTTTGTAATTCTGTTGTCTATTAGATTTTGAATGGGTAATTTTTCTAGTCATGGGTAATCTAGGATGGATAATTTTTTATTTTCGGATAGATAACCTTGTTTTCATATGTCTTTATGCAGATGATTTTTAATATTTTTTCCAGCTTTTTAAATTATCCTCATCGGGAGAGCTGATTAGAATGACCTAATCTGCCATTACAGAAAGAGGAAGTCTCCTTTCCTTTTTATTTTTTTCCTTCTTGATTTAACATCAGAACAATATTAACCCAAAATGTTTCCGTGTGTACACCTGCGTACACCCTCTTCAGCACACCCTGTCATCACCCTTACCTCACATGGACTGATCGATTGTTTTCTAATGATGTGTTAAGAGTAGTTCAGACCTTAAATATTCTGCCTAAACACTCGTGATGAATCTCTATGTTGAAACTTTGAGTTTTTCAGCACCCTTATTTTGTTGGGGTGAAATTATGTTTATAGCAGCAGATCTCCACTATCGGTCTTTGCTTTCTCTGTGGGCAATCTCACCCATGCCCAAACCTTTAAATATCATCTCCATAAATTCTGTCGAGTCTATGTTAATTCTCTTATTTATGGCAGACCTTTTCAGAGTATCAGATCTGTAAATACAGTTCCATGTTTGTAATCGCTATTGGATATCTCAAAGGCATCACAAAGTTAACGAGTCCAAAATTGAGCTTCTGCCATTTCCCCTTGACACCTGGGCTTCCTCCAGTGTCCCCTTTCCTAATGGGTTACCCATATGGTTTTCAAGCCAGGATTTTGGGAATCATCCTTGGTACCATCTGTTCTTTCATTATTCGCTTATATAATCCAACCACACTACCTCCAACCACCCTAGTCTAAGCTACTATGAGGGTTTGCTCGGATATGTTTAACAGCTTCCCAAGCGATCCTCACCCACTACCTCCCTCCCACCCACCCCATCCTACCTCACTCCTTTCTGATTCATTTTCATCTTTATAATCAGTATGATATTTCGAAGCATTTAAGACTACAATTTCAATATTCTCCTGCTTAATGCATCTCAGGCCCTACATAATTGGGGCTCTGTCTGTTTCACTAGCCTCAGCCCCTCCTCTCACCGTGCTCCAGGCACGCTGACCTCCTTTCGCTTCCTGATTCCACCGTGCTCCTTCTTACTTCTCTGTCCTGGGAATTCTCTGTTTCTTACTCTTCTTGCTTTCCTGCCTCTCTTTATTCCAGCTTTTGTCTAGTTATTTCTTTCTCTTCACATGTCGGTGACCCACCTCTCCTCAGAAGAGCAGGTCACCCATTAGATTTCTTATGCCAGCTTGTACTTCTCATCCTCAGCTCTTATCACAGTTTTAATTACAGTATTAACAGGAGCATTGCTAAGTCTCCGGCACTTAGCACAGTGCCTTGAATGTAACTAAAGAAATATTTGTGGAATGTTTAAAGGCACGTAAACAACAGGAGCCCCTCAAAGGTAGGAAAAAGTGTATTTGGCTTTTCTTTGATTTCCCAGAACACTTAGTATGATGCTGTTACTTAATAAATAGCTGTAAATGAAATTAAAAGTATCAGACTTAGATTTTCATTGGGCCATTTTAGAAAAGCTTAGGATAGAAGAGGAAAGCATTGTGTCTGAGTCGAAATAAAGCCCTATTTCTACTTGTTTATAGAAATTTGCCATACTCTCCAATGCTGCTTTTCACTTCCGAAAGCAGTTTATAATTTTTTCAAAAAAGTATTTAAATAAATATGGCTACAATGGATCATTTGAAACGGTTACTTATAGCTCTTGTATCAAGTAAGTCGATATTTTTTTTGATAACCACATCTTTTCTTTATAACATTTTAAATCGCTTTTTATTTACATTTTAAGCCTAAATCATGAAATTACATGATTCTAATTTATTATATGTAAAAACGACTCGGCAGAGTAGTCCAGCTAGAAGGTCGGTTTGAAAACCATTGTCTCGAAATGTGTTTATTTGCTTTGGCGTTGCCATGATTTTGCACGCGAGGGTGCTTCACTGCACACTTCCGGGGGTCATGTGATAGTCACTGCCACTTTCTTCATGGAAAGAGACCTTTGGGATGTTTTTATGTGTACCTCCTCATGAACCTTGCTAATCACTGAAATACAAGAAGGGCAAAGCGCATCCCTTTTGTTCCTGTTTACTGTCTCCATTGTATTCTCTTTTTTTCTCTCTCAGTTTGATTTTCGGTGCTCTCAACTCCCTTTATTTGATTGGGGAACGTGGCAGTCAGTGATGGGGAAAAGAATGAGGGATCGTAGTTCTCTGTTAAAGGCATCTTAGAGCTGGCATGTTCCAATTACTCAAAATTAACTCAAGTTTGAAGTCTTTTATAAATATAATTTTTAGTGAAAAGAGCTATTCACTGTTATTGTTAGTTACTAAAAATGTCACATGTATGATCCTCAAAACCCCAGATATTTTATGTCCTAGAACTTCAATATTTTAATATTTAAATCCCCGTTATTTAACTTCAAAATAATCAGTAATGTTATCTCTAAAAAAAGTGTATAAAGATACTTTGAAATTTTAGGGCTCTGTTACCTGTAACTAGCACCAGTTATGGTAAATGTGTTTACCAGTTTTATTCAGTAAGTTTACTTTCCAAATGTGTGAATTCAAAGTATTTGCTCTTTTGGAATAAGCCAATGATTTATTTACTATTTCTCTATGTTGTGTATTGTAAAGAGAAATCTCTTCTTGATACATATAATGTGAGTTTATCCGAGATGCAACAGTTTCCCTCTCTGCAAGGCCTGTATTACACTGTTTTGCAAAATGCTTTCTTACACCATTGTTGCTAACTGAAGAATGATTTTAAACGCAGAAGTGTCTAGTACATTTTCCTTCCTTGAATGGGAATCGTTTTCTAAATGTGGAAATATACCATTAACTCATTTATCAAATGTCTCATTTCATTTTGGAGGGATTCAAGTTGGAATGCCAGCGTACAGTAGTGTGTAAGAGGAAGGGTAACTGGCATGAAGGCATGCACTTAAGCAATAGAGGAATTTACTTTTCAGTGTCTTCCAAGGTCCATGAGGATGCATACTTATTTACCCAGAGAGTATGGATCTCACTATGTTTGTCCAGGAGGTGTGACTCTGTGGAGGAGAATACTTATAGGTAAGTATCAATCTCTTATTGTATTATGTTTCAGAAAAAAATATGTTTAGAAATCAATTGATTTTTAGCAGTGATAAAATCTCTTAGTCTGTGCTGGTTTCTTAACAGTGGACAGTCCCAGATGTTGAAGTCAGCACAACAAGAGAAAAACCCAAATCCCGATAAGACTTGAGGATTTTTCGAAAATTAAATGCAAAATAGTTGGGGCCCATGTTGCTGCGGGCGTGAAGACTAAGTAACAGTAAGAAGATGTGCCGTTGGAGAGCTTCTCATGTCCTTCTTTTGCATAAAGTTTGCACACGTACAAAACCCAGGACTTTAATGGCTTTTTAAGAGAGGGCAGAATTACACCTCTTGGAACTTAAAACAGCAGACTCACGTGAACCGGAACGTGCACTGTGGCCCTCACGATTTATTTTAATATTTCTTCTCAAAGTACTTTCTGTTTCTAAATAAAAACCGTGCCTTCTGAAACCTGTAAGTGATGTATACTGGCCACATCAAACCTTTTAAAAGCGTTTTCCAAATCCAAAATTGTTAGCGTGGAACCAATGTTTGTTTGGGAAACAGTAAAACAGGGGCATGTGGGCGGGCTTATTTCAGAGACCAATTGCTGCTTCTGCTTTATGCTTTATTATTTCTTCTCTTTTTCTTTTAGCCAAGAACTTTTAAGCTACATAATTGATTATTGCTTGAAAAAAGTTGTAAAATAATGTTTGTACATGTGATACAAAAGTTTAAAACAAACCAAAACAAAAACCAGCTACTGTACTGTGTTTTCTGGGAATTAACCATCCCACATAAACATATGCCACAGTAAGCCACTGCCAGCTCTCCCACCAACCACAGGAAGGCTTAGGATTGGTTTAGGTCATGCCTTAATAAACGATGAATTGGAAATGCAGGGCCTGTGAGGAAGAATTCATTGCTTAGATCTGGCATCAGGCAGGGTTGTCTTAGAGTTGCCAAGTACTCGCTCCCTGGCCTTCGGCAAAATACTTGAGGGCTCTCGGTCTGTTTCATCTATTGTAGAATGACTCGTATCATCTCCTAGCACAATGACTGGCAGTGGCCCCCACCATGCTGAATCTAGGAGTCCGGTACATGGTCTAAATCCTGGTGACAGAGATACTGGAGTAGAAGATGGCAGGAACGTCACCTTATTGACATGAGAGAAAGAGGATTGAGAATACATTTCTGCATGATCCATTTTTGCTTTGCCTTGTGTCTGATTCTACCAAACCCTAACCTATAGGACTCACGTCAAAATCTCTTGAAGCCACTTTTAGGAGATGTGGAAAGTGTGCGTGAAGGGAGAAAGCGTCAAGAGCAGAAAGTGTGGGTGAAAGAATAAGAGATTCAGTCAGTCATCCAGCCATTATACCGAATGCCCACTGTGTGCTAGGAGTAGGGGATACGGTAGTGAACAAAACAGACAAAAATTTTTGCAATCATGAAGCCTATGTTATAGATGTGGGAGATAGACCATAAATAAATTGATATGTTGGATGATGGAGATAATAAGTCTGTACAGGGAGTGATGAGAGCTGGGGCAAGGGAGTGGCTTTCAGTTGAAAATAGGATCATGTGGAAATCTGGGAAATGGGGGAATTGGGAACAGATCTTGTAAGCCATGGAAAGGAGTCTGAGTTTTTCTTTGAGCGGGATATGAAGCCATTGGAGACTTTTGAGCAGAGAAGTGACACGATCTGACTCCTAAGCGTCTCTCTGCCATACAGAGGGGCAGTGATGGAATCAGGGACTAGATAACAGGTGATTGGAATAATTCAGGCTGGAAATGATGGTTTTTGGATCAAGGTGGTAGTGGTGGAGGTGATAAGTTGTCAGATTCTGGATCAGAACGGGTCGGTCACTTGACTGTGGTGGTGAGGCACTAGGAGGAGTTGAGGATGACCTCAGCGTTTTTGGGCTGACAGCCAGAAGGGCAGGGTTGTCAGCTACTGTTTACTGAGACGAAAATGAGAGGAGGAGTAGGTTTGGGGAAGAGATCATTTCAGGTGGGGACAAGGTGAGATTCCTACCAGAGAGCCGAGTGTAGAGAGGAGACAGTTGGATGTACAATGGTCATTATTTAAAGCTCAATTTGCACAAGTTGGGAAGTCATCAAAGTTCTGTTTAAATGATTTAAATTTCTAAGGAGACGGTATTATAATTCACATTATGTATATTAGGAAATGATGTAGAAAGATTAATTTTCTTAAGATCACAGATATGAAGCTTTGTTTTATAGCTACAAGTTCCACATCGATTAAACAAATAATACTTATAGTTACCTTCACATTACACACACCCTCTCTTCTAGAGAAGTATAGGTGATATCTTTGATGAGGATTGTATGAAAGGTGTTTTTTTTTACTTTTTGATGTGTCGAAATCTAATATTCTCATGTAGGCTTTAACTTTGAATATACATTAAAATTTTTTAAAATGGTGATTGTAGATGGCTATGAATATAATTAATTTAAAAAAACATTCTTATATTTAAAAATTCCTTCTTTTATAAGCAGTTTACTTTGTGGTAATATATGTTCTTGTCAGTTGTTGAAAGGGGGAAATTCATTTGCACAATCTTAAGTTTATTTCTTTTATGTCGTAAAATGCATGATGTTTATATTTTGAAGCAGAAATACAAGTAATGAAAAACACATGTAATTGAGCTTTGACATTATTATTTTCTAGGTATGATGGTACACTGTACAATACAAATAGCATAATGGAAGTTGAAATCTATCAAAAATAACTATTCTATTTAAAGATTTATGTACTTTTATAACTTTCATTCAATAAAGCAATGGAATGTTATTTTATTTCATAAATTCCTAAGACAGTTAAATTTTATATGGTCTAATAACTTACGTGATAAGGAGCAGATTAACATAGTTTTCTTAAATTAAGACATAAGAAGAAGTACATATTCTTAAAAGTCATATGCAGTGATTTACGGGCTATGACTATGTTTACTTTCTATGACCTTGGATTTTTAAAAATTATAATTTCCGGTCTCTCATCTATGTAATAGCAAACTCTTTCTGATTCTACAGGAAGTCCTGCACGTTGCAGGAGTGGAAATGCAGTTAACGGCCGCCGTATCGTTTTTGACCATTCTGCAGGAAGAATCAGTGTCAATTCATACATATGCCCACTCCTTCCTGCAAGTCATTCTGTTACATCTGGAGCACAGGGATGCAGGTCAGGGGCCTGGCGTGCTTAATTATATACTTATTTACTGTTTCTTGAATGTGGCCATGATGTTCTTTGAACCTTTTTTTAGCCTGATGAGTATAACTGAATGAGGCCATGCTGTCCAAGAGTTGATCATTAGTCTGACTAAAAATAGCCATGGCTGTATCTTACAAAACCTGAAAAATTCAGCATCTTTGAAAGCTGAAGACCCATTAGTTCACCTTATGATTTACACTTTCTTCTTCGATTTTTTTTAACTTTACATTTGTGTTATAATATTGTACAGCAAAAAAGTATACAATTTAGGTTAAAGATATCCACTAATATTATTTTTAATGATGTAAATGTTTTCTAGATGTTGGCTAAGATAGAGAAACTTTTTCTACTAGTAATAAAAATTACTCCACTTTATCGTTAAATACTACTGAACTATTAATTGCTGAGTCGAAACTAAATTTGTGAGACTTTTCTTGTGTTTTATTTTTGTGTGTCTGTCAGATTGTAAGTGAGACATTTAATTTGGCATATTTTATCTGTGTGAATCAGGTGTCAGCAACGCATGGCTGGAAACTCTTCTGTCTGTGATAGAAGTATTACCCAAAGAAACTCTAAGGCATGAGGTAATACTCTTTTTTCTTCCTTCCTTCTTCTTCCTTCCTTCCTTCTTCCTTTCTTTACAAGTAAGTGAAGTTTTGCTTTTTGTTTTTGATAAAAATGGCATTTTAAAAAAGAATAAAGTTATTTCCCACTCATAAGGCAACATATATTCATTATAGAAAATTTGAGTAGTACAGGAAATAGTAGAAAGAAAAATCATGGTTCTGTTCTTAGCCACTTTCAACATTCTACTATAATTTCATTTCAGGTTTTTTCCCTATGTATGATTGCTTTTGGCCTTATTAGTGATCATATTGAATTTATATATGGTTGTTTTTACAGTTAGCATTATTTTCCTGTTAGTTTAAACTTGGTAGTAGCTACAAAATACTTTGCTTGCTTGTTAGACATTTAAGCCTATTTTCAGTATTTTATTATCAAAATAAGGCATTAATGAAGATCCTTGTAGAGCTTTTCTTGTTTTCCAGAAAATTTCTTTAAGTATAGCTTCCAAAAATGTGGAATTACTAGGTCAGAGGGCATAAAGATTCTTGAGGGTGTTGATTAGCAATATATGAAAATGCCTGCATCCTTGGACTTTTATCAGGAATAGTGTTCCAATTTAATCTGATGATGATCCCAAAATGGAATTGCATTTTAATCGGAACTTTAAAAAATTATTATGCTGTTGAATATTTTCTCATATACTCTATTAACATCAGTTCTATTTATTCGTTTGGAATTGTCTGACCATATCCTTTGATCAGTATTTATATGTGCTTTTTATCTATCTAGGTTGCCAATCCTTTGTTTGTTGCAAATATTGTTACTAATTTCTTGTTTGCTTTTTTATTTGCAATGTTTAATATACCCTTCTCTAAAAGTTTTAGTAAATTAAGATGAGAGAATGGGAAAATTGGAAAAGAAATTTATTCTCTAATGAAAAGGTTTTTCATCCTGTGAACATTATCCCTATACATATTTCTTTCCAAACATGTCTTCGGTGAAGTGTTGTCTGTGAATTTCATCAAGTGTCTTTGTTCTTTCTTTGCCCTCATGCAATTTATGGTCCTACTGCAATGCTAAAATGCTTGCTCAGAAATACTTGCAGTTATAAGGATGTTTGTATACTCGATGCCAAACATTTAGATGATTTCACGTATTTAAATGTTGAACGTAGTGTCGACATGTGTTATTTATATTTTTGAAGGGTGATATGTAGTAGATACAGTTTTTACTCTGGAACACCATGTGGTATTTAACGTGTGATTTTTAAGATTTTAAATATGCATTTTATTTCATATATTTCACCTTTAAATTATATTTGTTAGTATGCATCCAGGAATTTTGGTTATTTTATTGAGAGGAATAAAACCCTTTTGTTAGAGTCATAGAATTTTAGAACTTAGAGGGCTCTTAGTACGACATATTCTAATTTCCATTTTCAGTAGATGAGAAACCGTGGGATGAGAAATAGCAAGATGAGTTGGACAATTTAAAGAACTGAGACCAGAATTAGGACTTGATCTTCATAGTTCTTTACAGTGTATTATACTGTTGAGCTTTTGAGTGCCCAGCAGATGTGTGATACAGTATTGGACCTGGGTCGTTGTATTCAAATGACAGAGTGACTTAATAGAATCTATGCGAGGCTATAATCTATGATGTTTTGCACCCCTTTAGGATAAATATAAAAATCTACATGGGATAAAAATAAATTTCAGGGCAGCTGGTAATTAATTTTCTTTTTTCTTTTGAAAACATGTTTCACAATTATACTTTATGTGCATACAGATTATTACAGAATTCGCCATAGCTTAAATTCAATCTCTTTTTTGCCCAATTGATTTTTACTACATAATTTATCATCATCTTTATCATATGTATGTAATTACCTGGAAGACAGACAAGGTGATCCAGGTCGAACAACTATGCACCTCAAATGCTAATTCAGACTCTTTAAAAACACTTAGAACTCTAAAATAGTCTTTGGAGAAAATAGCTGACATTAGTGTCAAGAATATATAAAACCTGAAAAAAAAAAGAATATATAAAACGTGATGAATTTGTTCTCTAAATCTTTCTCTTTAGATTTTGAATCCACTTGTTTCCAAGGCACAACTTTCTCAAACAGTCCAGTCTCGTTTCGTTAGTTGTAAAATTTTAGGAAAATTAACCAACAAATTTGATGCCCATACGTGAGTATTTGTATTAACTTTTTGTCTACTTTATTCAATTGATTTAAAATGTATAATAACTGTGTGACCAACAATTATATTAAGTTCATATTATTCCATATTGCATACAAATTTAGTTCTTCTAATTTTATAGCATTCTCAGAAGTCTACTTATTCAGATGCATTTCTTCTTGATCTCATGGCTTTTCAAACTCGATAAGATTAACTTTTCTATTTCCTGTCTTAATCTACCTGTCACATATCTACTATAGTTTTGTGGATGAAATGGCATTATCTCATAGACTGCAAAAATTGGTAAACATGACATAAAGATAGGCTTTTTGCTTTCTTCCATTATTGTTATGAATTCATTATTTTGAGTAATGTGTTTTATTTTGAGGTTTTTATGGAGAATGTTTATAATTTGTATGCTCCTCTCTGCTCAGATGATAAATCTCAAAGGAAAGGATGGAATGGTGTATAATTATAACATAAGAGAAAAATATAAAATTGAAGACTATCTTGGTTGATGGTTGCTAGAATCAGATATTCCACTTATTTACAGTTTTTTTCTTAGCTAAGATGTTTAACTGCCAATCCACAATTAACCATTCTTTTAAAAAGACTCATATACATAATTTACAAGTAGCTGATGAAAACATCCAGATGTAATACATATGTTAAAATACATTGTAAACTTTGAAGTTTTAAAGTATATTAGCTATTATTAAGCTAAGATTTTGATGATAATTATTTGAAAATATTAATTATTCCGAAGTGCTCACCCATTTGCATGTTTCTTTCCTCTCTCTCTAAGCATTAAAAGAGAAATACTTCCCTTGGTAAAATCACTCTGTCAAGATGTAGAATATGAAGTTCGATCTTGCATGTGTCGGCAATTAGAAAATATAGCTCAGGGCATTGGGTAAGTATACTTCCAATTTCTTGTGTCGCATTCTTATTTCTGGATAGCAGACATGCGAATCCTCTTTCTGTATTCCATGAAAGCATGCTATTGAAAAGCTAAACTACATATGATCTTTAAGAGTGATCATGATAAGTACCTCCTGATGTGTCTAGATTAAAAGAGGTAAAAATGAAAATGCTTAGCATGGTATGCATTCAATTAATGTTAAGTTCTTTTCTTCTCATCTTAAGTTACTTAGCTGTCATTCCAAATGCCTGGATCCAGGAAGAGAAAATGTCCCAATATGAACCATGCATGCACTCTTATTTACGAGGAATCGATTCCCTAATTTTGATCTCAAAACCAGTTTTGTATGATAGGTCTTCTAAGTCTAGGCTGACTCTGGATCATTGTGGGCCATAATTAATTCAGTCTCGGCCAGATCCGCACTCCTTAACCAGGATCAGAACCTATTAGGAGAATATACTGTTGTCTTTTTGTATCCTATTTTTTTGTCACCTCGTATTTTGCCACTGTTGAAAATGGGCGAGTCATCATGTGTTCATAGTAGTTCTGAAAATTAATTTAGGATTATCGCTTAAGGATTAATTTATAAAAGTAAAACTAGAAAGAATCTACTTAGCTTATGTAAAATGCTTAGAATAGTGCCTGACACATAGAAAACAATAGCCAAGTGTTTACTTCTATTATTATTTTATAAATTTTGACATAAACAACTAATTCCTTAGACTCATCTCTAAAAATAAAATAATATGGGTAAAAAATAAGCAAAATGTTAAAATGTATTGTAGAACTCAAAGGCTAAGTTTATACTTTTCCCAGTAGTACATGAGATGTTTCCTGCACCTTTACCAACAATGCAGATTTATCGTTAAATTTTCTAATTTCATTGGCAAAAGTAGTATTTCACTATTGTTTTTGCACATATCTCGTATTATCCAATAACTATCTGTCTACTTGAGTATATCTCTTGCTGAACTCAGAGCATCTGGAAGACAGGATTGTATCTATTGATTATTTCATCGCCCATATGTAATCCAGCGTTTACTTAAGGCAGCTGCTCATATATATTCATTAAATGAATATATTTCTCTGACAACCAATGAAATTGAACAATGAGGTTGAATACATGGTTATTTGCCACTTATAATTCTTCTTTATGAAGCACATAGTCATTTTCTTTGCCCATATGCCCATTATAAAAGTTGAGGGGAAATAAGACATCATGGCAGACCTACCTGTGTAGGACGCAAATAGTTTCCTCTTTCATTAGTTCCTCTTAGCAAACTGGATTGTAGCAGAGTATTTTTTCAGAAAGTAGGTATGGACTGTATACTGCCTAAGCTAGTAGTATATTTCAGAGAATGTCTTTCTCTTGCCTTCACATGTAAAGTCCACCCTGGGGCAGAATTCTCGGTTATAATTCTTTCAATAAAAACCCTTCTGGCATTTAAGTATGTGGAACAGAAGCCTGAAGACAGCCTGGTCCTATTATATTTGTGGAAGTCCGGTTTTATCAGCTCGATGCTATCGATGCTAGTCATTACAATCTAACCCTCATGATGTCTTCAGGGAGTAAGATACAGGGTCAGGGATAACGAGATGAATGAAATAGGCAAGCTTGCCCAGATGGCCAACCAAAAATTTTGGGGTCTGCCTGTGTAATACAACTCTATCCAGGTGCTGGCTATGATGTGTCATCTGATGGTAGCTGTCTGCTCCAGCTTACATACTGATAAAGATGGTTGGCCAACACAGCAGAACCGCACCAGCATTTCAAGAAACCTCATTTGTTTGCGCCCTTCTCATTGGCCTGATCTAAGGAGACTGGGCCAGAAGAAATACTGAGGGCCCATCCATATCCATATTTCTTTTCACAAGACGAAGTTGCCTCTAGTGTTCTTACTTAGCCTTCCTCTACATGGTTCCCCTTCATCAACAGCCTCCAATCTGACAAAAGACAGAAACATGGACAGAGGATCAACCATCAGTCCCATCGTATCTGAATTCTGCAACCTGCCCCAACAAAGGCAGTCACGGATCTGCTTTGCTGAAGCGGTTTCGAATGGAAAACTGTATTATACTTTGTGGTTTGGTATAAACTAGTCATTAAGATCTCTGTGGGTAACAGTGTTGTGCTGGGGAAACTAGAGTCGATTTAAACAACTTCGCGGTTACTATTAACGTTTCTTGTGTTTCTATCGTGCTTGCCCAACCAGATCTAAAGTTCCTGGAGAGCAGGAACCATATCTTTATGACTTTTCCTAGTCTCTGTAGCATCTAACTTGGGACTCGTTATTAGTGAGTTCTTGCTACAAATTTATTGATTTGTTTTATTTTCTTCCATTGCTTATTGTGCAGGACAGAACTTACAAAAAGTGTGGTGCTCCCTGAATTAATAGAACTCTCCAGGGATGAAGGCAGCAGTGTGCGACTTGCAGCTTTTGAAACTTTGGTTAATCTGCTTGACATATTCGATACAGGTAAATCTTCACATGGACATATCTTTGCTTCTGAAAGCAGTGTTTTCCATAAGTTTTGCATCACTAATAAGGAGTAAAGGTAGATGCAGAACAGAATTTCTTATGTTAAGTGTTATGATGAACGTTCAGCTTTCTCTCCTTCTTATCTCTCTTTTTATGGTCCCTTCGTTGCCCTCTCTGCTGCCCCATTTACCCTCATGGCACGCACTGTTGCTACATATATTCTGTATTTCCCTCTTTTCTTTTCATCAAAATTTGTGTAGGACTAAAAATTTGGCTTGGTTATTAGCCTTTAACTTGGTCAGCTCATTGACCCTAAGAAAGATCTTGATTAGAGAAATGTTTAAATTAGTTTCCTCTCCTTAATATTTTAATGCTAGATATCCCATGGCCCACAGAAGGAGAAATTTGGGATGGGGAATTTGAGTGGGAATGGATAAGGAAGTATTTCTTAGTGTTGCGCAAATCGAATCACAGAGATGATTAGCTGTTCTGCTGAGTCTATGACTAGATTCTTGATGAATGCTGGACTTTAGTTTACGAGGAAACAATAACCATTTTGATAGGATAAAATTTGGAGAGGTAAATGTCAAGTACTTGGATGCAAAACTCTAATTATAGAATTACATTTACTTGGATTAACAGCATCTTACCTGAACTAGGAGAGCCTCTTAAAGATTATTGCAGCATAGATAATAATTATGTATGAATGTTACAGAATAATCATTTAGGCTCTATGAGGAGCCAGAGGAGTAGAAACTGTAATACTTGACGCATGAATAAATGATTGAATCTCCTTGTTCTAATAACGGGGCACCCCCAGGCATCCCAACTAGATACTTGGCATCATCTTCGATGTCTTCCCTATTTCTGCCCCACACTTGGTTATCACCGGTTTGGGCCTAATCTGTGTTCATAAAGGAAGCTAAGTGGAACGTAGC